ACAACAACATATATATATTATATGTATATATGTACCAAGAGAGGGAAGTCTATATGGAGGGGAGAGCCAGCACATCCGAGGACGTGGCTGGGGGACGGATGGGCATGTGGGGATGCTGGAGGGGGCGGGGAGGGGGACTGGGATGGGGGACGGTGTCCCTTCCTGGGACGTTTTGTCCCCGTTTGGCTTAAGAAGAGGCAATGTGATCTGCTCTGTCATATCTGATGCCTGAGCGGAGCAGGGATGTCACCGGGGATGTCACCCCCTCGTCTGGCACATGGCCCAAGAGGGATGGAGAGCAAAACCACACTGGTGCCGAGGAGTCGGGGTGGGGACACCCTCCCCTCTCCACCCAGTTTCCATCCTTTATCTCCTGGTCGTGGGGAAATATTAGTCACCTCTAAGTCTTGTAACCATCTTAGAATGATGCGGGATGGGTATTAACTCATTTTTCCTGCTTACGGGTGATTCTGCATCCAGAGGACACGCTTGGCATGGCCAAAGGGGGGGAAAAAAAAAAAAAAAGCTGGATTTGCTCTAAAAAAATTAGGAATCTGGACCTCCAAATGGACCCTTGGCGGTTTTTTCAGCCTCCGGGTTTTGCCGAAGCCTTCAGCATCCAAAGGGGTCGGTGCAGCACCTGGTCCCAGAGACAAACACCCCCGTGTCCTCCCCGGCGGCTCTTCTTCCCGCAGAGATGCATTTGCGCTGCTAGCCCTCGAGCATCCCCACCACGACAGTGTTTTTTCCAAGCCTGGCAGCAAAAAAAAAGAAAAACCACAGCCTGGACTCCTTATTTTTAATCCAGGTCAGAGATGCTCCATTTCAAGCCTTCTCCCGGTGCCACCCCGATTTTTACCCCGGAGCCAGGACCCTCGTTGCCACCCAGCATCGCTACCAAGGGCGAGGGATGCTGGTGTGAAACGACCATCAAAAAGAAAGCGGCGGTGATCAAAACACACTGAATTCAACCCAAATCACAGCAGGAGAAAAGCCTTTTGCCCAAATTACGTTGAATAATGTTGGGTTTTTTTAGTCTTTAGGACCCAAGGCGTATGGCATCACCTGGGTACCAGCATACATTCCCATGATGTGCAGAGCCTGGGAGGGTTTGGTGCCTCCGATCCACAGAGCATCCATCCGGCTCCCCATTGGGACATCCCACCCCTGGACAAAGCTGGGAGAGAGGGAAGAGCCCCACAGAGGGGACCATGGAGGGGGACAATGATGCTGGCGATGCTGATGCATCATCTTCCTCCTCATCTCCCCCTACCCCCAGGGCTGGGGACCCCTTAACCCCTTGTTTTTCACAAATAGGGCCGCCGAGGGACGGGATGTCCCCATCCCACATCCCGGAGAGGGGACAACCAGGCTCACCCAGCACCAGCACGGGAAGATGCGGGATGGGACAACTCCTCTCCACTCCCTCCATTATTCCGCATGTCAACAGCTGGTTACTTATTTATTTTTATGAGCTTTTTACAGCCTGGCCCCATTGTAAAAGCATGATTAATAGATGTAGCTTTGTTCTTTAATAACTCCTCCTGAAGGATGCCAAGAAGAGCACGAGGGAAAAATTCAGAGCAGCCGGAGCTGCGGAAGGAGATGCTTTTCGGCTGCTCTGGATTTGGGGGCTCCCGCATCACCTACAGCCCCGGAAAGAGCTGTAAAAGCAGGCGGAGGGGAAACTGAGGCACGGCGTAGGGATGCAAAGCTCCTTCATAGCTCAGGGCAAAGCTGCTCACCTTGGGGCCGAGGATTTAAAGCCAATTGCGGCAGTCGGGGCCGTACAGACAAGGGTAATAGCTTCTTCCCCCACGTTTCTATTAAGAATGAATTTACGGCCGCGCAGGCTTTATTTCATGCTGTCCGATAAATCCAAGCGACGGCGGCGGTAAGCGCTGTATTAACCTTTCGTGCCCGCAGATGGAAAAACCTCCATAAAATGGGGGTAAAGGGAAAAAAGAGGGGCAATTCCTCTGCTCCCGGTTCCTCGGGGTAAGGGGTAATAAAAGCCACTGCTGATATACGGAGAACCGCGGGCGATGTCCTCTGCACACCCAGAGGGGTTTTGCTGTTCTTATTTGTCAGGAAAACCTGCTGGGTTTTGGGTTTTGGGTTTTTTTTTTAGGGTAAAATTCAAGAGGATGGGAAATGAATATTAACACAAATACGGAGAAACTGTTCAAACTAGTCAAAATGGCTTTGTTACACCGGTAACGAAGTTATTCACAACGTTATTAATTGCACCACCAAACTAGTTATTAATGGTGAATTAATGGACTTTGCTCTTGCAGGGACACGATCCAGCTCATCGGAGTTATCGCCTGAGGATGGAGCTGGACTGGGAAAACACCTTGTCTTTGTCTTGACACTACATATTAACAAATTAACGAACCTTTTGCCCCACAGCATCCCTGTCCTCCATCCCCAACCCCTCCCTGGACCCCAAAACCTGTTCAGGAACACCCGAAACAGCAACAAGAGAGTCAGCGGAGCCGGCAAAGGAAGGGGCAAAGGGCTCGTGTTTCCTCCAAGAAGCAATAAAGAAACCAGCAGCAAATAAAATGAGGACACGGACCGGCCAGCGACCCAGAATGGCGGGTACCTCTGCCACGCACCCTGCTGATTTTTGGCTGGTGAGGACGCGCGGCGGCGGCTCTGGCCGGAGTCAGGGTTTGATGGGGTTTAAAGCAGAATTTCAGCTTCGCGGTTGAATCCTCCTGGCTCTGACCCTCCCCACGGCTCCTGTTGGAGCTGACCTGAATTAGGAGAGGCTCTGCTGGGGTTTGCGTTTTGAAGAAAGTCCTCCGAGCTCACCCAATCCCTGCGGCTCACGAAATCCAGCTGCAAAGTTCCCCCCCGCCAAGAATGAGCCGTCTCGCTACATCTCACTTCGGCGAGGGCTGAAAATAGCCCCCGACTGCCTGGAGACTTCACTTCGGAGCTGGCTGACATGAAAGGCAGCCATCAAAGTGGATAACAGGATATTTTCCAGCCTAAGGAAGAGCTCCGGCAGGGGATGAGAGCCCAAACTGTGCCCATGGGTCCCTGTGCTCATCCCGACCACCCCTGGGAAGCCAAAATCCGACCTGTCCTCGTACATAGACGCAGCTTTTTTTTGCTCCAACCTATTACCATCCACTCTCAGCGGATTGCAGCAACCTCTCCCTTCCCCTTCCCCACGGAGATGGGTTTTATTTCACACAGCCCTGGCTCAGACCGGGCTACAAGCGGTCCCTGTGCAGCTCATCAGCATCCCCGGATTTTTAGCTCCTGCCCCCCGTCTCTCCTGCACCGCTCGGGGCTGGTCGCTCGCTGCGGCTGGAAGACAAATGCTTTGTTTTCCGGGGAGAGAGGCTATGCCTCCTGCCTCTGCTAATGTACAGCATCTTGTCTTATTTGTTCCTCGCCGTTCCACAGCTGAATTACTGCGAGTGATGTACCGGCGCTTCGCACGATGATGCTTCTTTATAGCCGCAAGAGGAGCGCTCCTTCAGCCTCCCCTTCCAGAAGTTCAATCCATCTTGTGCCCTGCGAGGGGGCCGCCAAGGCTCTCCCCTCCTCATCCTCATCCCTCCGGCCGGGATGCTCTGCTCTGTGGGGAGAAAAGGAGCATCCCCCTAAAAGCTCCGATCCCCACGGGCTGCTTGCAGCTTGGTTTCACTTGGTGCATCGAGCCCGGGGAGGGGGGGGTCGCATCTTCCCCAGCTCTGCTTATCTCCTGCCGCGGAGCCAGATAACTCGCTGGCGGCGGTTATCTCCTCGCAAGAAAAGGCTGCACGGGGAGGAGGCGAGGAGCCCCGCACCCAGCCGAGCGCACCCGCGCCGCTCACAGCACCCCAAAGCTGCGGCCATCCCCAGGGCGAACCCTTCCCTCTCTCCCTGGGGTGTTACTGCAGCATCCTGCAGCATCCTGCATCCCTGCGCCTCCTCGCCCCCAGCCCCGGGGGTCCCCGTCGGAGGAGACGGGAGGGTTCAGGGGTACCCCCAAGCCATACACGAGGGCACTCAGTGACTCAGCGCTGGGTGACGGAGTCACCCCGATGCAATTTGGCACTGAAGCCCCAACCGGAGCAGCTCCTCTGTTCACGCTCCTCTCCGGGCTCTGCCAGCCGAGCCCTCCTGGCAGCCGCGGGATGGAGATGTATAAGCTGAGCCCGGCCAGACATGGGCCTGGAACAGGTACTCGTGGCCATGGCACGCTAATTAATCCTCGTTTGCGCCTGGCACTTGCCAGCCTGTAATTTCACAGCTTGCTGGAGGCCTCCGTACCGCAGGATGGCTGCCAGGCGCTCCCTGGCCGGGGCGGCTTCCCCACGCTCATGGATGGAGCGGTGGGCTCCAACCTTCTCCGGGGTTGATAACCCAAGGATGGAGCGGTGTTGGACGGACACCTGAAGAAAACCTTCTGCTCTGCCAGGAGAGGGATGGGGAGCTGAGATAGATACCCAGCAGTGGGCAGGAGACTTCAGCCCACCCTCGGCAAGAGAGGAATGAGGGGGAAACTGGTGTCAACGTGGAGCTTGGAGAATCAAGGGAAGGTGGTGAGGATGAAGCAGGTCCAAGACAAGGTGGGAATAAGTGTGGTCAATGGGCATGGCTGGAGAGCAACATCCCTGAAGCACAGCTCAAGTAGGGACCGATAACCCCAAGCTGAGCTTAAATGGGTTCCTGGGGCCTCCAACAGGGTGCAGATGGGGGTCCCAGGTGGGGCTGCCCATGCCATTTAGTGTCCCCAAGGCCACAGGAGGCCAGACTCGGGGTGAAGGTCTCTGCCTGACTTGCTGAGCTGAGCTCCATCACAACTCCAGCCCAGCAAAACCCGCTTCGCCAGTGGCCACCGCTCCTGGAGCTCAACCCTCCAGTACCTGGAGAGGTTTGCTACGCCAATGGGAAACATATACTTATTTATTACGTTATCTCGCCCTATAAAATGCATTTTGCTGGGTGATGGTTGGGTGCTCTCCCACCACTGGGTGGCAGTGGGCACACACGCACACACATACACGCATGCACATGCACACGCGTGCCCCACGCAGGGGCTCTCTCCATCCTCGCCAACCCTTCGGAGACCTGTGCCAGGCACTGAAGGTGGCCCCGTGTCACATCACCTCCGTGGGTGAGTGTTGTCATCACCCTATGCTTCGTCCCTGGTGGGCAACATGGGGACCGGGCAGCTTCAACCTGGCCACATCCTGCTCTCAGGAGGAGAGCATCCCCCACACAAAATGCAGCCAAAAAGAGCAAATTTGAGACCAAAAGGGCTTCTTACCTCCATACCCTGGAGGCACCAGCAATCTGGTTCTTGCCTTGACCCTGTGACGAGGGGTGCTTGGCTGGAGAACCCCCCGTTTGCAAGGCAGCAACCCCTCAGAAGAGCCCCAGGCCCCCCGGAGCCGTCGGGTCCAGCAGAGCCTGCCGAAACGCAGCCGCGCCGGAGGAGCCCTGGAGGTACTTGTAAGACAAGGGATGACATGCTTGATGGGACTTCTTAATTAGATCTCGCTAAACCAAAATGTACCGGGGCTCCCCTGGCAGAACAACGTCAGACAAAACATTAATCACGCTCCAAATAAATAATTAAAACTTTGGGGCTCTTAGAAGGCAAAAAAAAAAAAAGGAAAACAGGAAAAAAATCAAAGGCATCAGCACCAGCCCATAATAAGGAGCACTGCCGCTGGGTCCGGCAATGCCCTGGCCTTGGGGGGAGGAGCAGAGCTGTGTTCCCAAAGCCACCTGAGCCATGTGGGACCCAACCTGTTCATTGGAATCTGTGCCCAAAGTCCCAGGAGGTGTCAGGATGAGGTTTGAGACCTCATAAGCTCATACCTGCAGCTATGATACTTCCCCATCTCAGCTTTAGGTTAAAACGTGTCTTTTCACAACTGGCACCTGTGGATTCGAATGATGGATTAAAAAACCTTGTTTGCCCCCTGGTTGGCTCATGCAGTGCTCTGGGACATCATCCACGGTTACTTTTGAGATGCTGAGTGGTACCCGAATCTTGGGCTCCAGTAGATGCCTGATGCGGCGTGGGAAAATTTCTTCACCCAGCACTTAGGAAACACTTTGGGGAGAAAACAACAACAAAACAAAGGCTTGAAAAACGAAGCTCTGCCTCCCCATCCCCTCTTTGCCGGAGCAGAGATGATTACTCAGTGTAAGCAACGCAGAGCTTAAATAATGCATGGAGCCATTTGCATCAAAGAACATGATTGAGGCAGAGCCGGTCCTGTCCCTCCCGGCTCCCTGGCCAAGCAGGAGGGATGGTGGGAAGGCTCCTTGGGACCACGCATCCCCCATCCCAACACCAGCCGTGGCCAAAGCCTCCCAGCTGACAGCCAGTGATGAATTTAATGCAAAGACCATTTTATTTTTTTTAGCCTCTGTTTTTTCTCCCCGTAAGGCTGCGATGCTGCGGGGAAGCGGGATGTTTTCTGCCAAGGATGGAGCAACCCTGTAGCGCTTGGACGTGGCCACCAAGAGGTGATGCTGCTCACCCAGAAGCTGATGAAGCCTTGCTGGTGGGCAGCATCCCCAACCTTCATCTTCCTCCTCCTCCCAGCCCTTCCCCAGCGCATCACCTGGGTACAAAGCTCACTAGGAACGAAGGACTCCACCAAACCCCTCTTTATTACATTAATATTTACCCGTAATGAAGCTAGCTAGCACTTCCAGCTCCAATCAAATTAGGAAAGCTATAATGAACAAGAAGTGGTGCATTAATTCATTAGTGGGGAATTACGCTAAATTATCTCAGCAAATACAGCAAAACTTTAATTTACTGGCGGTGTTTTCAAATGGCTTTTGCTCCTGTGTCTCCATTTACACCACAGCGCGTTTTTTTACTGGCAGCAAAACCACAAGAAGTGAATTAACTCCATGTCCTTGGGGAAACGCTTTTGTCTCTTGGATGGGAATAAATAAATACGCGTAAGAGATACCAGAAATTTTCCTTTTCAGCTCCTTCTCCAGCTCTACGCGGAGAAAATGGATATTATTTACAATAAACAATTTAAGTGCTCAGGAAACACCTCTGCAAAGGTCACAGCCGGTAAAAGCTCCGCCAGCAGCACCGCAAGGCTCGGAACAACGTTCTGCTTTGCTGATCATCACAGAAAGGGGGAAAGGAGAGGGAAAAAAAAAAATATGTGTGTAGCGATTTCCTTGAACATGTGCAGGCAGAGAATTAATAATATACATCTCGGGGAAATGAGCCCTGATCCTCAGCTGCCAGTTTGTACGTGCTTAATGCATAAAGTTGGGCATCGAAATGTAATGGGGTCTTTAACGTCCGCAGACCTGTGGGGATGCAGAGGGCTGAGAAA